ATAAATTGCTTATCGCCGAATACACAAAGTCCATTAACAAGTCTGGAAAATCTGCGTTAGTGAACTATAGGTAGCCATAGATGAACTAATATTAAAATTAGTATATTATTAGTTCTTACTATGGCTACCCGAAAATTGTCCTCATAATGTTCACTAGTACTTTTGGTTGAATAAGGCCTTCAAGAAATTTTGGATAAGTCACAGACTCCAAATTAGAGGCGTGCGTACACAGAGAGCTCCTTTCTAATTTTTATTCTGGTCCAAAAACTGTAAGTTGAATAGCCTTTGTGAAAAACGCGTAATACATTAATAAAATTTGAGTAAAACTAAAGTGTTAAATAGTCGATGGTTAGGTATAATAGGTCGACCATATAAATGAGGAGGTCCAATCCGTAGAGAGATTATATTGACAACTTTATGTAACTGATAAGGCTGAGACAACTAACTATGACATCCCCCATGTCAAGGAATTCCAGCTTTAACAGTAACCTCACAACCAATTTCTCAAAACTGTGCTAGAGGGTTTTTCATTGGCACAGAAGTACGATATGAACTGACGCGACGTGACAAAGGAAAAATCAAACTTACACTGTAACGGATATACCTCCCTTTGGAGTTAGAAAGTGTCTTCCCAACAAACAGATATTTTTTCAAATAAAATCATAGATTAATCTGCATTACACTGAAATCACGGAAGTGTTTGAAAAGAAAAGATTCGCCAATACGATTTTAATACTATTTAAACGTTCTTCCAAAGGAAGAGATACCAGATAGCTTAATAACAACTCCGATGACGTAATGTATGGGAAATAATTTATTCATTGAATGATCAACCATAATTGATATATAACGCAATTAATATCATAATTGTTTTTACACTTACTAATCTTTAAACAATGCTAAATGCTCGAAATATGTATAATTTCACTCAATTTTTTGCAGTTAAGTTAGATAAATTAGCGTAAGCCTTGAAAGTAACCGTCGATTTCGACGGGTTTCACCTAGTTTATAATATTAGTAAGATATACTATATTTAATGATTAATGTCCTTGCCGTACCAGTTTAATTCAGACTTAGAGGGGTTTCCTTTGCCAATCATCATAAAGTTAAGTCCATGTTTCCTACAAAATAGTAGCACTTCGTCACTTCGTCTAACATTCTTGTTCATTGTTTGTGGAAATCTTCATATTGGTGCTGTAGGTGTTCCTCATTATATAGGTTGATGACGATAGTACTGTACTTTTTTTTATCTCTGTTTCTTCTACTTGGTGGCGTTCTATGATATCGCTATGTTTCCATGGTTAACAAATCGGTTCTTTCAATGATTTCTCAAGAAATGCAGTACTATGTCAGATCATTTTTCTTATTTGGTAAAATAAATCAAATTGTCCAGGCTTTCTCGATTTTTTACATTGTAATATGTACGAATGTAAATTTAAATAGTAAATATTTAATTTCAACACAATCAATAAATGTACCCAATGCGTTTCATTGAATTGAAAACTAAATAACAGCAATTAAAATATACAGCTGATCAAAATGTAACAAAATATGTTCTTCATAAGGATAACATGGGATCTTTAACAGCCACTTGGGCAGAGCCCAAGAGACTTTTTCAAAAATGTAAGGCCAGTTTGCAAATCTACGTGACACGCTCTTTCCAATGAGACGTCATTGGATAAAATCGGTTAAGAAATGGCGGCGACAAAGTTTCATGTAGCGTATTAATTATATAGATTTTAAATCCATTTTGTGCTTATTTTTGAACCTATTTTAATTTATAAATACTTTCTTTTTTAAGCTCTACAAAACGGTTTAAAAATAAATTGCAAACTTTTTGTTTTAGGGGAAAAAATTGAAAACCCCCATTTTTACCCCATAAAACCCCCCGTAAACCCCTGTTCCCATGGTCCGATTATGCTGGTTCGCGAACTCGTTCGAATAAACGTAGGTTTACAAGTTTTTACCAAATTTCATCAAAATGGGATCATTTTTTCTCGAGTTATCGCGCTAACGGATACATATATACAGGGTGATCAACTCAAGGAGGTCACCATTGGGATATTAAATAAGGGACATTCCTTTATTTTTTGTGGCAGTTCAAAATATGAGTTTATATTTTGAAAATGGCAGCCAACTTTGAAATTTCTTATGGAACACCCTTTCATGTTTTCGGATAGAACATGCAATTTAAAAACTTTTTTATTCTTGACATTTTTTCGATAAACCCACTCGTTTAGGAGTTACAGCCTATGGAAAAGAGACTTCCGGTGTACATTTTAAATCATGTAGCTCCTAAACAAGTAGGCTTATAGCGAGAATGCGAAGAGTAAATAAGTCAAATAAGTCTTAAAATTGCATCCACATTCCAAAAAGACCATAAAATTAGTTTAAAATATTAATTCCAAAATTGCGACAAACTTGAAAAGTGGAAAGCTGTGCATTTTATGGTCTTTATGGAATGTGGATGCAATTTTTTATTCTGTGTTCGCACATTAACAGGAACAATAATTAACAGGAAATTGGATCAACAATTAAAATTGTCAACTGATCAGCTGATTAGTTGACGTTCGAAGCATTCCAATTTTACTTCTTTTCTCTCAATCCTTGAACCTCATTGGTCCGTTGCCTGTGTTGTTATGAGAAAAACCATGCTGTTGTGAAATGAAACTATGCTGTTATGAAAGTAAAGAGCTGTTAAGTGAAACTTTTCAATTCTAAGAACTGAACTGAAATGGCTACTTAAAAAAAACTGTCGTATTTAAAACGGTAGTAGGTAAAAACATTTTGGTGAATGTTCCATATAGCGAAAAAAATCTCTCATGGCAAAAATAATACGATCCTGATGAAATTTGTACAAACGTGTCGTGTAAACCTACAACGAATGAGTCCGCGAACCAACACAGTTAAACGAAAATGAGTTTATGAGGGTAATAAGAATAAGGTAAAGATTTTTACATGGACATAATGAGTGAATTTTCAAACAAAATTTAAAATGTTAACCAATTGTAAATAGCTTATGTATAGCATGCAGAAGGAATTTTGTATATATTTTATGTATTTCTGTAATTGACATAACCAATGCATAACTTATGTAAATCTGGTTAAATAAATCACTTATGACTTTAGAGTAAAATACCCCCGCCGCAGCAAACCTGCATACTAAGCGAATTTCCATTTGCCTAACTGGATTTACACTAAAATGTCTCCTTTAAAATATCACGTAAACTATCGTACGTAACTCGTCCAAAATGTGTGTACCGGACTCGTATGGTGTGGGAACGACCACACTCGTCCGGTAAACACACTTATTTTCAGGACTAGTAACGTAATATACTATTACCGTGTACTTAGTCAGCTGTTGAAATAAACAGCTAATTTCAGTGGCCTATTTTATTAAAAAAAAAAATCTAATTTATGTTCTGTCCTAAATAAATTGTGTCGCACGAAAATCCCGTACTCGGCTACGCCTTCGATAAAACACCTTACCGCTTACCAGGCTAGTAACGTAATACAGTAGGCATATACTATTATTTTCTTTATACCTACTGCATTTAGATAAGGTGTTTAAGTTTCTTAAGCAGCCATTACAGTTTACAGGTGGTTCTGATGTGTGTTTCTAAATACTGCAACAACTCTATGATTTATTTTAAATACCCCCCGCAGCAAACCTGCAGACTAAACGAATTTCCATTTGCTTGATTGGATTTACACTATCTCCTTAAAATATCACAAATTTATTCCCTATTTCAATATTGCATTAGTTTAACAAGTACTTAGATATGTTGTAACAGGGAGGGTTTTAAAGTTTTTTTTTTTATATTATTACATGTAGGTAGTTTAGTATGAAATAAATGCATTTTCAAATTTTGATCAAAAGATGTTCATAAACAAGCTAACTACAACAGTTTACTTATTCTCCATAAGAATAACATAGGGATTTTAAATTTAAAACTGTTTGAGTTTTCTCCGTAACCATTAGCATTGACTATATATACCTACAGGTAGGTATATATAGTCAATGCCATTAGGCAACTGTTTGCGCATAATAATGCTTCAATATACTAAATAATTTGTTTTTAAGCTCTACAAAATAGTTTGGAAAGAAATTATTGCAAAATTTTATGTTGTCATTGCTTTTAATGGATCGCCATATTGGCAATGGAAAGGTTAACAAAAGAATCAAAGCATCTGCAGAGGCTAATTAACGCAGTTTTTTAATTTCCTCATTTCCGGTGTAAGTTGCTGATACAAATGTACTACAACTCATTTAATATTTCAAAGTGTAACAATGAACAACGTAAAATAATTATTTGGGTTAATCTGTTTTAACACTAAGCTAGCAAGTTAAATGAAAAAACTATGTACTATATAATTATAATTTCAAATAAATGTATGATTGAAAAAACTTGGATGGATACCATAATCATCCTCTATCAAAGTTTGGCCTAGGTAGCACGTTTTAACTACCTTCTTACACGAAAAAAAAACAGTCAATAAATCATAATACAAGTGCGACAAATGTCAAATTATTTTAAGCCTTCAAACGGCAGAACACATATTATATACACAAGATAGTTGAGATAGCATTGACAAATTTGAAGGAGACTGCAAGCGCCGTGAATAGAAGTCGTTCGGAGTTTAAAAAAGAACGACTCTCATTATACTCAAACGATCTGTTCAGCAAGAGCTGTTCACCTTCAATTTGAATCTCCCGCTCTTTGTCGATCTGTTTTGCTTGTCGACATTTTGCGTGTCGATAAAGTGGGAAAATTTACACAACCGTCCCACATAACAGACATCCCACATAACCGACATCCCACTTTACAGACATCCCATATTACCGACACTGTCGACATTTTGAGTTGTCGACATTATGGGACTATTTCAGTGTCGATCTTTTGGGATGTCGATAAACTGGGACCCCACGGCACAATGAACACCACCATTGATATAGGTATAGGCGAGGAGGACTATTTTAAGCACGTTATATTTCTTACCTTCTTTTGATTCCTCTGTAGCAAGCTCCGTCAGAAACCCTGGAATAAAAAAATTGTACATAAAAGCACAGAAGTACTGCAATAATCACTGATCAAATGTTAAGCCATAATTGGTTCTGTTGTGTTATTATCTGTGAAAAGATGTCTCGTATCTTTTTTTACCATTATATACAGTATGTAAGTTATTTTATATTGAAGGTCTAAGTACATGAACACTTGTATTGTTGTTTAGAAGTAAAGAACGTTATTATTCATTCTGATAGCCCCTGGACTACGAATAATGACTTTATAGGCTTACCTCCGTCAGTAGTCCAAAATGGTGTCTTAATTCAACTAATGTTGATCAAAGCTGACATGTTTTGTGCATTGCAACATCGTCGGAGCTTGACATCAAAAACATCAAATAATTTAAACATAAAATACAACACGGGACACGGAACATTTAAACACGAAATAACACGATAGCGCTATCATGACACGGCACGGCAGCGGTTGTAGGTAGACTCACAATTTTGGACTACTGACGGAGGTAAGCCTATAAAGTTAAAGAACGTTTCCATCTGACACCGCCAGGCGCATGCCAATTGCGTATACTTTTAAGTACCAACACATTTGTCTCCTTAGGGACTCTTCAACCACCGTGACAAAAATTTCATTGCTCTGCCCACTGTGGAAGTCTATAAATTTAAAATTTAGGCCTATGCTGTAGGCCTAGTTGAAAATTACACCAGTTGTGATGTAGGCCTACCTATGAACTTTAATACAATATTTGTTGGCTATGCAAAAAAGTAGGTAGACTACCAAGCAGGCCTAATTTACTTGCTCTTTAAAATGTATCTTAAGATAGGCCTTTTAGGCTACAATATTTTTCTGGCAGGCTACCTATAAACGTTTTAGCGAATTTCCCATATAGGGAATAAGCTATTACCGTAGTACTCATGGTAAGACCTGGACGCGGGACCGATTTTTTTTTTCATTTTGAGGTCCCTAGAGGCCAAAAACACCATCCGTTCAAATACATATATATATATATATATATATATATATATATTTATATATATACTAGTGGCCTGTAGGGGCCATAGCCCCTAATTTAGACTACAATAAAAAAAACATATATAAAAAGACAAATATTCTAAATATGTTTCTAAAATTATCAATTTTATGTTACTTAAAATTAACAGTGTTTCTTGTTTTATATCTTGGTTTTCCTTCCGTTGGAGTCGTATATTAGCTGCTTCTGATGTGTCAATGAAATACAATTGTAAAATACCGTAATGAGTAAATCAATAACACAACATATTAATAAATGGAAACGTGCATACGGTTTGGCCTGAGCCCGGAGAACGACGAATCAGAGCTGAAATCATACAGCCAAACATTGCACATTTTTTTTAGTTTAAAATTGAAGATTTGCTTTGTAATCTTACGAATTCTGTTATAGTTTCCATTTTGAGAACCAAATGTAAAGGTTAACATTATCATTAATTATTATGAAGGCAACTCCCCATTTCGCGGTAAGTAAGTCAGAAATGTATCTATGAATTTGTCCCTGAATTTTAAGACAGAAAGGCCCATTTCCCGGAATCTCATTTTGTGTAGCGCAAAGTGACGCAAAAGCCATTGTACTGTTGTATGACTGTTGTGTGTTATGTTTTTTATGAAGTTCGAATCATGTAAAAACGGTTCTTTTAGTTCGTCATTTACTTGTGGTTGTGGCATCTCCATTGTGGCAACATGCGTTGAAATGTCCATTTGTGGCCTCCTCTGCGAAGTGAAATGCGCCACAATGCATGCGAGTGCTTTAAGAGGACCTAAATTGTGAGAAACAGCACTCAACTCATTTTCCAGCGTTCTTCTAAAGACCTGTTAATTGTAAAACAGCTTCTGGATTTCTTTCACAGTTAGGCCCTACATGACGTTCTCTTTTGCATTTCTTAAGTCTGTTGAATTGCTGGACACTCTTCCACGTCTTGCAGGTCTTCCCCTACCCTGTCTAGTTACTTCACTCATTATAAAAACGGAAAACAAACAAATTAAACACAATTCATTTTGAAACATTATTTACCAACATTGACTTTCGGAATAAATGTAAACATTGCAAATAAATAAGTAACAGCTGATAGAATGCAGACGTTTTTCAGTCCCCATGCATTTCTTATGGTGGATATTTTACGTTATATCTCGTTTTCTGGTAATTTTATGGGAATTCTGCTATTTTTCCCGAGTCCCTGGGGTCAATACCTTTAATTTAAGACCTCTCCCACTTTTCTTTGACTTACCAGACGTTCACAATTTTCTGGTAAAAATTTGGTCTTACAGAATTATATATATAGATATATATATATATATGTGTCCGTCAGCACGATAACTCGAGCAAAAATGATCCGATTTTGATGAAATTTGGTACAAACGTGTAAACCTACGTTTATTCGAACGAGTTCGCGATCCAGCATGATCGGACCATGGGAACGGGGGTTTACGGGGGGTTTTATGGGGTAAAAATAGGTTTTTCCCATTTTTGACCCAAAAAACATAAAATTTAGCAATTTCTTTCCAAACCATTTTGCAGAGCTTAAAAAAACAAATAATTTAGTATATTGAAGCGTTATTATGCGCCTAATGGTTACGGAGAAAATTCCAAATTTAAAATTCCCATGTTATTCTTATGGAGAATAAGTAAACTGTTGTAGTTTGCTTGTTTGTGAACATATTTTGATCAAATTTGGAAAATGTTTTTATTTCTTACTAACTATTCACATTTTACAAAAAAAAAAAAAAACAGTTTTACCCTCCCTGATGCAGCAAACCTAAGTACTTGTTAAACTAATTCTATTTAAATCAAGAATAAATGTTAGCCTATATTTTTAAGTAGACATTTCAGTATAAATCCAATCAGTCAAATGGAAATTCGCTTAGTCTGCAGGTTTGCTGCGGCGGGGGTATTTAACTTTTTGAACAGCACTTGTATGTAGCCTAATTATTTAATTATTCAATTGTGGCCAAAAGATTTACACCAATTTTACAGCTGAATTACATATTTTGAGAATAATGAGCGCTTCCTTATGACTTAGAGCCTAATATAATGGTACGGTAATAAGTAGTCAAGAATAAATACTGAGTAAAATTGGCTATTATTCTTTAGTGGCCTGTATGGTTGAAAATAACTAACTTATAAGATAGGCCTACTGGAATTTCAGTAAAAAAGTTCTGTGCCATTGAAAGTAAATAAAATAGTTTAGCCTGAGTCTAAAAATTAGGCAAAACTAAGTCATTGTTAGGCCTATAGGTAAACAACCAAATCTAAACGTATACGCCAGGCTTCCTCAGTCTAAGTAAGTAAAGTCTATCTGTGTAGGAACTATTGTACGCCTACGGGCCACGAGAGTCTGTAGTTGAGAGAAGAGCCTATACACCACGTGACTTCGAAGGAGCTAAGGACCAGGCTATGTTTCCGAATCTAATATTTGATTAAACAATTTTTACATTAATATCTTTTAAGTACGGTACCATATTATCATGCTTTGCTTTGGTTATTTCTGTAATATATTATGTAGGCCTAAGTTACTTACTAGGTATACAAATTTGTTTCCATGGTGGGAATTTATGACTTAGGCTAAGTCAACTTAAGTTACCAGCTGGTTTGAAAATATTAGTAGTAAAATATTGTTGTAAAATAGCCTATATTTTAATTATTGTCGCCACGGCCCCCAATAGCCAATATGCGGATGTTGCAACACCGCGCTAGCATGGTCTTGGTATTGGCTGCCGCCAACTGCAGAGTCTTGTGGCCCATACATAAGCCTAACATTATTTAGTACATAAAGTAGTGTAAAGTAACTTATGCCTAAACCGTGTTTGAGTCAAGAAGCATTGGCTAATTATTGTAAAAAGAAACCCCTGAGCAACACTGTGTACACCAATAATTAGTTCATGTGCAAGAACTAAATCATAAAAACTGACTCAATGAAACGAGGCATTTCTAAGATCAAATTCGGCTGCACTTTAGTATCTGTCCTTCACTCGTTCGAATGAAATATATCATAGATTATTTGATATATTGATTATGTCATTCATTTAGTTAGGTGAGGTTAACCTAACTAACCAAACATTAAATATCGAATTAAATAATCGATATATTCATTCGAATGCGTGTAGGGCAGATACATGAATCACATACATGCAGATGAGTGCAGCCTCAAATTCATAGATGGGGTCGGATGAATGATAACAATATAGCCTACGGTAAGTTAGCCTACCTACTTATTTTTCTGGTATTTCCAAAACTGACTCTAGATATACAAATCTGCATTACTTGGATCTATAAAATTCATCGGTCATATAAAATTATAGAAAAAAACATTTTTTTTTAATGCTTAAGTGTTATAGGCCTAGGCCAAACTGGCCTCCTAAGATGTTATGCAAGTGAAATCCCCAATGAAAGAACTGTGTTAGAAGTGTGGGCACATTTTCATTTTGGTGTTGAATTCGTCATGATATAAAACACAATATAGGGCCTAGGCTACAAGGATTAAGGAATATTTTTATATTGACAGAAAGAAAACGCGTCTTTACACATAGCGTGCTATCGATTTCTAAAATGTTGTCTTTAAATTGTTATTTTATATATAGAAACAATTGGGACATCATATTAGAAACTTATAAAGGGCATTCATAGCATGGATTTAAGCAATATACCAAAGATAAAGACTAATGAGAATTAGTTTTGAGCACGCTGTGAATCAACAATGGCATGTTCATTAGTCAGCTTTAGAGGATTTTCGTACCTGATAGGAGTCCTGCACTTCAATTTACATATCCATTTACTGCAATATGAGATAACTACACAGTACTAAAACAATCTGCACTGAAGTACTAATACACGAATTTAATTAAAACATTGCACAAATAGCAAACAAAGAAAATTTGAAGCAGGACAAAAGAAACGAAAGTTCTACACAATACAAACAGAAGACTCGCGAAAACTGACACAACACAATCTCAAGCCAAGACGACGACGACGACGACGGTGGCAAGGCAAGAATAATAGTTTGACCTAGTTACAATGCTGCCAACGACACGAAAAGTGCCAAAAACTCAAAAAATATTATACTATAAAAAAGCTTTGTTCGGAAATTTTACTGATTTTTTCCAGTTATTATGAATTGAATGGTTATGTTTTTTGTAATAATTATATACTAATTATTTAGTTTTAATCTCGGTTAAATAACAATAAAACAAACAATAGAAAACGAAAAGCCCTCGTGTATAAATCCATTTTTCCTAAGTTGCGGTTTGTACACCGAATGGCATCGGCGTCAATAATAATAACTCAATAACTCATTTATTTTGAACCAAAATAACAAATACCTACAAAATTTGTAATGGTCATGTCAATTAATACAGTATCTTAAAACTTAAATTAAAAACAAACTATAAACAATTGCTTCGATAAAACTATAGGTCTACGAATTATACTCCTTTCGAAAAACCAACAAACTAAAACCATCAGCGACCCAATATTAAACACTGTAGTAACCCTTAGCCAAGAGTTTTTTTTTTTTACTTGCTTTCTCGGGATCACACTGGACTTATGACTTATGACATTTTGGCACCTTGTCGTGGTGTGGTGACAGATTGTCGAAAGCGTGCATGGCAACCATTCATTTCAATGATAACCATATCTCTAGCCCTGATGATAACCAACCAAACCACCTCTGATAAAAGTGTGGTGGCAAGTAGTTGCGTCGTCTCACATTCACTCACATTGTTAAAGCTGGCATGACACCATTTACCATTTATTGTAAATATTAGTTTTTTTTTTATTGTAATTATTGACGCAGCCTATCCAGCTTATGCTGGTATCAAGCCAAGGAGGAGGTAATGGGGTAATTTACCGTTTAGTCTTCTCCACCATGGTGGAAGGAAAAATTGTGTCTTTTCCTTCCACCATGCTTCTCCACGGTCTTGAAGATCGGGGAATCATCATTCATCATTCGTTGTCTTATCTTCTTATGTTTTCTGTGAGCAATGGTTTTAGACCCTACTCGTGTAGTTTTGCTCGTCTATTCTCCGGAAAAGGAATTAGTGATTTTTAATTTAAACCAGGAAAGGAGAAGTTCAGGGACAGATCCCTGCAAGACACTATGGAAGATTAATTTTTGTAATGAAATCCTTTCAGTTTGAATTTGTGTTTCATTGCTTTTAAGTATCTTTGTAATTTGGCCTATGTATATATTTATAAAATTCTGATTTCGTCATGTATAAATAACATTTGTACATTGTATTACTTTAACAAATTATGCATTAATCCCCTCCAACATTTTTATAAATACAGCCTTATAATCGAAGATGAAGTTGAGAAAGATCAATTCCTTTTTTGTACTGTCTGCAGTGTTTGCTGCTGCTGCACTGCTGCAGCCTAGGTTAGGTAGGAGAGGCCGGAGAGGGAGAGGAGCCTAGAGTTGTTAGTGTTGTTAGTGGTTGTCATATTTGATAATTGATTTCTGTTTATATTGTTTTTGAATTTTGATCAACTAACTGTTAATTTTGCCAAATGCTATGTTGTCAAAATGAAACCAGTCAAACGTATACAGTCCAATATAATCGGAGAAGAACAATAATTGTGAACAAGGCTTATGTAAAGTGTACCAGTGAAGATAACCTGAAAGTTACCCATCAACAGTGAACAATTTCAAATTATTTACTTTGATTTCAACGTTAAACGATTTTAGTTCTGGTACATCACTGTAGGCTAGGATCTAAAGGTGACCAATCTATTTACAAGCATTCATTGGTTAATATTGCGTAACTCACTCTATGGTATAGAACTAGCTTAAGCCTAGGTTAGGCTCACTGCACAACTCATTGCTTTTAGTACAATTAGACAATTGTACGCTTAACAATCTTGGAAATTCCAACTTAGACTACATTTATTTCTTAATATTTAATCTCATGGAATCAACTGACCAAGAGAACTCTGGAAATGATGGTAAAACCTGTTTGTTTTTCAAGCGGAAACGAAACGTAAGATCAAGAAACATAAGAAGTAAATACTCTAGCAGTAGTGAGGATGAAACTACAGTCGTTAAAAAAGATAAGAAAGAAGACAAATCAAATCCTTTAATTCAAAAGTCCAATTTCAAGAAAGTGATAAAACCTGATTCAGCAGCAAACGAGTCCTCAAGTGATGATGACAAAGTCACTGTTTCTTACCGGTCTAAACGCACAGCTGCTCCTGAGGGGCCCTCCGATCAAGGTGCAACAGCAGTGTTGGAGATTGAAACTGAAACTGACAGGGACGCTCAGGCAATATTTGAACGGTCACTGAAAATCAACAAAGAACTTAAAGGAAAAGAAGATGATAGCATATATAGAGGTATGGCAAACTATACTCAATTTTATGAAAAGAGAGACACCGCCCAAGGCAATGCTTCAAGTGGCATGGTTAGAAAAGGACCGATTCGAGCTCCAGCACATTTGAGGAGTACAGTTCGGTGGGACTACCAACCCGATATTTGTAAAGACTATAAAGAAACCGGGTATTGTGGTTTTGGTGATAGCTGTAAATTTCTACACGATCGTTCTGATTACAAGTTTGGATGGCAAATAGAGACAGATGCGGCATCAGGGGTTGTAGATGATGAAGATGACACAAAATATGAAATTGATGATGATGAGAACAACTTGCCTTTTAAGTGCTTTATTTGCAGGGACTCGTTTACAGATCCTATTGTTACTAAATGCAAGCATTATTTTTGTGAAAAGTGTGCTCTCACTCAATATAAGAAGTCAGCACGTTGCTACATTTGTAATCAGCAAACTCATGGAGTTTTCAATCCAGCAAAAGAAATTATAAGCAAGCTAAAAAATACTGCACCGAAAAACGAAGAGTCTTCTGATTCAGATTAGAAGTCATCTTAGAACTTGAATGATTTAAAACTTGTACTCACTGAAGGTTTTATTGTAAAAATCTCTTGCAAATGTGACAGTTTTTATAGCCCAGCCAACTACTTTTGATTAGAGTGTAAAACAATGCTATTTATCAAACCCTTGGTCAAAACATAAGCTCACCCTTAAAAACTTAATTCCTCAGCATGTTGGCGCAATCAATTTGGTCTTGTAGTCTTGTAATTTACATTTTAATCTCATCTTTTTATTGCCAATCTGGAAAGCTAAATAACATCACAGCCTACCTAATAAACCCTATTAGGCCACCATTGACTATTAGTCAAAGCTATAATTTAGCTAAGCAGGAGCCCACTTAAATTGAAACTCTTTACCCTACTCTTAAATATAATCTAAGTTACTACTATCCGTGTCAAGCTCCATAGTTTATGCTGTAATCTCCAACATTCTAATATATAAAAGTCATTGACCGTATTACCATGATTGAAGTTATATTGATTTTTAATAACTCTTTTCTGCCCATTAATATTTTTTATTCGATTGGCTTCTACGCTTTTTAAAAATAACCTTGTTTTCAACCATTTCATTGCTTTGAGATCTTAATTTTTAAAGACAAAATAATTTTAAATACCGGTATTTTTAATGGCACGTTTTGGTAACATTTATCGATTGTCGATCAAATTAGAGTATTACTCTTTAAAAAGTATTGTATACTGTAGTATTTACTGTAGAGCCCCTGTGTTATTTAAGTCATTAAGGACATGTTGGAGTTTCACACTTAAATGGTTAAGTGTCATATAAGTTATATAAGGTGGCTATGGTTATATGATATAACCATAGCCACCTCTAATACAAGGCTGCAAAGAGACGTTAGTTGGCAACGACACAATCCCAGTCTACTGAAACAGCAGTCTCATCAATTCATAATGGAGCTTATGTGCAATATGTATGATTAATGTTATTACAATGGCAATAGGCCGGCTGGCGAGACGTTGACACACACCGCCGTGGACTTGTGTAAGGAGAGGTTATAGTAAAAAAAGTAGTAGTATCTTCATTATGGGTAGGCCCTACCGTAACTTATGGTAATTTAAATTTGTTTATTTATATTTTAGTATAATTTATTGTTTTATACCATCTTTTACAGTGTTCCATTGTGCCTAAACCAAATTAAGGCTACCGACTATTTAAACAATTTTCCAAAGATTAAAGTACCGGTATCTTGATTCCAACAATGACCTCCAAAAATTCTATGATTTTGTAAATGTTAAATTTGTAAATATAGCTTGCTGAGACTAGTCATATTAGTTTTCATTAAATCCTTCTAATACCTCGTTGCATACATTTAAGAATCAAGAAAATACAAAACCAGTTTTTAGAGGACATTATTTAACAACTTTCAATATTACTGTTGGAAGTGTGGTTTTAGTCACAATAAGATGGTTTTGTACTACAAAATGCTAGAAAAAGTAACACTGCGCTTGGTTAACACTCTTTCAATCTTATGTAAAACATATTTAGCTTTTTGTAAACTGTCACACTCTTACTCGTACTTTCAAGCTAGTTTTTCAGTTGAGGAAAATATAAATTTGAAAGGAATAAAGGAAAATAAGTTATAATAATTTAAGGTTTTATTTGACACATTTTTTGTATTGTAGGTTTTATTTGATTTTGTACGATACTTATTTGTTCTAATTTTGACAAGAGTACCTGGTACTTTCCCTTACACTAACGAGTTTTCATCGTGTTTCCTGCACATTTGAAAAATGTCATTTACCCAATATGATTGATACCCATAACTCATGATTGCATTTATAAATTACAATAATTTGTTCGGTTTTAGCGAATTTTCCTATAGGGAAGTAGCTATTAACGTATGTGGCACGGTAAGACCTAGGCCTGGGACCGAATTACTTTTTCATTTTGATGTCTCCAGAGGCCAAAAACACCATTCCTTCAAATTTGTATATATAGGTATATACATATACGTCCGTGAACCCGATAGCTTGAGTAATTTTTGTCCAATTTTAATGAAATATGGTTTAAAGGTGTAAGGCGGGATAAACTTGAATGAGTTAGTGAACCAGCATAATCGAACCATGGGAACGGGGTTTTATAGAGGTAAAAAATGGGTTTTCTCATCTTTGACCATCAAAACACAAAATTTCCCACGGTGTACGGTTTTTGGTACAGGGGAAAATAAAAAAAATTTAATTTTAAAATTCGCATGTTATTGTAAAATGTTGGAAAACATTGTAATAGGCCTATGTTGTAGTTTGCTTGTTTATTGATATATTTTGATCAAACTTGGCAAATTTATTTATTTTATCCTAAGCTATTAATATTTTACTAAAAACCACACTTTATTAGCCTCCCTGTAGCAGCAAACCTAGGTACTTGTTAAACCTAATGTTATTTAAATTGATTTAATTGAAAATCAATTCAGACAAATGGAAATTCGTTTAGTTGGCAGGTTTGCTACGGCGGGGGTATTTATAAATAATAAATGTTAAGCAACATTTAAAATGGCCAGTATCCTGTAAAGAGTGTTGTGTTGTATTTACCTTTTCTCAGGTGAATCATGGATCTAGAGCAATTATCATCTCGAGGGTCTGCCTTGGAGGATCCTACCGATCCGTCACAGGCTTACCAGCCCTTTATCATCATGGAGGAGCTCATGGATAAATTGAAAGCTTTAAAATACGACGAAGAGTTCATCAAAGCTTTAAAAATGCGTCCACTTAACAGGTACTAAACTAGCACAAATATTTGCCTAATGTATGTACATTTTGCTATTGTGGTTGAAAAGCTTGGTTTCAAATACACAAATTACTTGTACAATTTGAGAAGATCACTTGTGAAAGCCATGCCATGTTTTATTCTGCTTTTTATTAATAGTCTTTTATTACAAAAGGTCCAAAAAGAGCTCTTGTCCTTTGTTCCCTCAACAAAACTAAAATATAACTTTCAGTGGAGTTTTTGAAATGAAATGAAGCACCTAATCTGGTTTGCTGTCTAATACGACATAATAACTTTTAATCAAATATTTTGATCTGATAACACAACATTTTTCAGCAATTGTCAATGCGTGATTGTTGAATCTTAAAATTTAGGTGTGAACCCTAAAATTTCTAAGGAACTATAAACGCTAATATTCTTTCTCCATTCATACTTATCACCTTTACTCCCACAGATGATTGTGCTCAAGCACAAAAAACCATTAAATCATCAAACGATGATTTTCTAGAAATGGTATTTCTAGAAACCTTTCTTAAAGATAGTTCAAAGTTCTTAGGGAGGGCTGTTACAGTTGATTTTCATTATAAAAAGATCCCCGGTTCTTGTTTGTGACAATCGTGAGATATTATAAAACTGTTAACATGAAGCCTCTTCTAAAACATGGCTGCGCCGACAGCTCTCAGATATGTCAGAGGAGAGCATGGGTACGCCGATGAAGTCGCAGCCCTCATTGCTGCAGCAACGTTGAGCTTTCCCAACTGAAACCGAACCAGGACATGCATTTAGTAAATGCCTGGACGGCTGATCAAGACAGAGATCGTCGTCCTTATGAAAGATATTGAAACCATAGTTCCGCTACGAGTGGGGAACGTAGCTGTCCAAACCCCCAAGTACTTGGTGTCATAGTGGACTTGTTAGTTGAGATGGAGGGACCATATCTTCCATACTGTGGACAAGGCTGCTAGGATTATCACTACTCTGTGTATGCCCGACCTAATGTATGGGGTCCTTGGTCAAGCCAGAGAAGACTCTTGATGTCTGCAGTCCAGTCCGTGCTTCTCTAAGGCTCTGAGGTATGGGAATAGGCATACACTCTGTCAGGAATTGGTACAGTGTGTAAGCAATAAACAGCTACACACGGGAGTAAGCCCCTTGGGCGTAGGTAAACTCTACTTAGTTCTGATGAAGTGGAACAAGTGTTCCCAGGAGGTTATAGTGGGTAGTCTTTGGGTCTTAAACCCGTTGGAGTCCCACACTACAGACTAGCCACCTGTGTGCATAAACATATTTCCCATTCGATAGTCTTTGGGTCTTAAACCCGTTGGAGCCCCACACTAGACTAGCCACCTGTGTGCATAAACATATTTTCCATTCTTTCCCTGAAACAAAATACAAGACTGCAGGCGCTGCACCCAACAATGGACCAACACCACATTCACTGGCATATTACCATAGTAATAACAAATTTTGTATACATCACATTGTATAGACGCTCCAAATGAGTTAGTGCTACAGCCGTCTTGCACATTAATGGCTAGTTTAAATGTGTCATCTTCATATATTCTCTGCCCAGCAACGTTTGATTGATTTATACATCTAACAAAATTCAGTAGTGATAGGGCCAAATCATATCAAAGGACATTACCTTTTAAATGTTCTGGATATAAATGTCTGGGTTTTTTGCAATACAAGATTGTTCCCTTTAGGCCTATGTTAAAGAATAGAGAATTTTTCCAACGCCAACACAAGAGGGTGCGTTGTTTTAGGCGCAGATGAATGAACAATGAGTGTTGAACGATTATGAGATGACAGCTTAGATAGTTACTGACCTTAGAGCTTAGATATCAGCTGGTTCTTTTACCAGGATCATTTATCAACCCCTCCGGGACAGTCAACTTTTATGGCCTAGGACAGGCAAAAATTATTCAAATAAAAAGTAGCGGGAAGTAGAGCCTTGGTAGCTTGAGACATCTGGGTACTGCAAAAACACTAGCCAGGGCTGTCTGATGATAAGGCAGACATATCCGTTTCCCGGCCAGAACAAACCAATCCATATGCCGATATATCCGTCCGCGAAGGGTTAAAAGCACAGTGAACAAGGACAGCTGGTTCCACTTTTGAAGCGTTAAACAAGATTTTGAATTTTCTCAGGATTTGAGCCAGAAACTTTCTAATTAGTGATTACTAGCATTAGCACTCAGCAGTCTTAGCTCTGATTACTAGCATTAGCACTCAGCAGTCTTAGTTGTGATTACTAGCATTATAACTCAACAGTCTTAGCTCTGATTACTAGCATTAACACTCACCAGTCTTTAGCTCTGATTACTAGCATTAGCACTCAGCAGTCTTAGCTCTGATTACTAGCATTAGCACTCTGCAGTCTTGGCTCCGATTACTATAGGTCGGCCGCTTAGAAAACGACCTCCTCCAGCATTGGTTTAGCATTAGCGCGCAGGTCGTTTTCTAAGCGGCCGAACTATAGCATTAGCACTCAGCAGTCTTGGCTCTGATTACTAGCATTAGCACTCAGCAGTCTTGGCTCTGATTACTTGCATTAACACTCAGCAGTCTTATCTCTGATTACTAGCATTAGCACTCTGCAGTCTTGGCTCTGATTACTAGCATTAGCACTCAGCAGTCTTGGCTCTGATTACTAGCATTAGCACTCAGCAGTCTTAGCTCTGATTACTAGCATTAGCACTCTGCAGTCTTGGCTCTGATTACTAGCATTATCACTCAGAAGTCTTGGCTCTGATTACTAGCACTAGCACTCAGCAGTCTTAGCTCTGATTGCTAGCATTAGCACTCAGCAGTCTTGGCTCTGATTATTATCATTAGCACTCAGCAGTCTTGGCTCTGATTGCTAGCATTAGCACTCAGCAGTCTTGGCTCTGATTATTATCATTAGCACTCAGCAGTCTTGGCTCTGATTACTAGAATTAGCACTCAGCAGTCTTGGCTCTGATTACTAGAATTAGCACTCAGCAGTCTTGGCTCTGATTACTAGCTTTAGCACTCAGCAGTCTTGGCTCTGATTACTAGCTTTAGCACTCAGCAGTCTTGGCTCTGATTACTAGCATTAGCACTCAGCATTAGCACTCAGCAGTCTTGGCTCTGATTACTAGCATTAGCACTCAGCAGTCTTAGCTCTGATTACTAGCATAAGCACTCAGCAGTCTTGGCTCTGATTACTATCATTAGCACTCAGCAGTCTTAGCTCTGATTACTAGCATTAGCAATCAGCAGTCTTGGCTCTGATTACTAGCATTAGCACTCAGCAGTCGTGGCTCTGATTACGAGCATTAGCACTCAGCAGTCTTAGCTCTGATTACTAGCATTAGCACTCAGCAGTCTTAGCTCTGATTACTAGCATAAGCACTCAGTAGTCTTGGCTCTGATTATTATCATTAGCACTCAGCAGTCTTGGCTCTGAATACTAGAATTAGCACTCAGCAGTCTTGGCTCTGATTACTAGCTCTAGCACTCAGCAGTCTGGGCTCTGATTACTAGCATTAGCACTCAGCAGTCTTAGCTCTGATTACGTCCTCAACATTCGAATGTTGGAATGACAGATCTGATGTTTTTGCCGGCAGTGTCCAGCAGCTTGTGGAACATAAAAAAAAAACTTTCATAATCATCTTTTTTTTATCTAGTCCATCCACGTTATAGATATAACAAAACTTTCAACAAAATTATATTTATCCTGACTGATTGCATAATTATTTTACATCAATATTAAAGTACTAGGGAACCCGTGCGGCTCAAACGAGCCGCATGCTGCAACAAAGTTTTTCCAGCATTGAGAGTTGAATAAAACTGTTTCCTTACTGATAACCTGTGTTAAGTTATTTAAGTTGGGTCATTTTATTTCTTCGATTTGAGACATCCCCATGAATAAAAAAAATTCTCCGTAGAGAATCCAGATAAGTGGGGTGATATCAACCGTTTCATATGCTCCATTTTTTACCCACAAACTCTAGGTTACTCTCTGGACAGCCATAATCTGCTTGAATAGGCTAAAGCAGCAACACCATTGAAAGTTGGTTAACGTATATTAACGTGTTGTCTGTCAGTCACAGTATATGCCCTGCTTCAGAATGTTTTCATGTTGTTCAGTGGAGTTTCTCTTAATACCTGTCCCAAATTTTTGAAAGTATGGATTCATTTGTCGAAATAGGTTGGAGAACTCTTGTAGCTATAAGATTTGGAGAGCAATTTTCATTTTCTCTTTTTGAACAGCGTATAGACCGTTACTACTCGATCGTTGAATATAGAAACACTAATTCCTTCACTTATGTTTTGTCTAATATTGCCACTAAAACGTTCAATAGCAAATGAGTTTTTGAAACTTCTTATTTTTGACTTGAAATGTCTGGATTGTGTTGGTGAATTCAGTGAAAAAACTTTATATAAGTTAGCCCGAAACACTGGCAACATAACCTAGAAGTAAACAATCCATTTGCGTTTTTTCTCAATTGAAGTAGAGCGAGTAATACAAAAGTTTACAATAAAAACATAAGGTCCGCCAAGATTTGGTATAATCTTACTACTTGAACTTATCATAGTCAAGGCATTATTATAGTTTCTAATAAATGTTTTTAAATATCTCGATCTGTCAGTGTCAGAAGTAAACATTTCTTGCATGCATTCATTTGATCTGACATTAGGCAAGTTTACTTTACCACCGTAACAACACTATGTGCTTCGTATATTTTTTCACTTCCAAAGTAAGTTGCAAAGCAGAACTGGCTAATATTATCACCAAATATATCAACCAAGCATGCAATATATCACCAAAGTGAATGTGTATCTGGATGGGTATCTGTTAGACCAGGCCTCTCTTTTTCTACTCTCCTTATACGCATAAGATATGTTAATTACTGTATTAATTGTCTCCTCCTCCGGTTTTCAACATTTCATCTTTGAACTTGAGGAATTTTCTGTTCTTCCAACGAAACTGATTAATTGTATAACTTGGTCTTAACCTGAATATTACATATTCTTGAGTG